TTTTGCGTAAAAAATGAAACATACAAAATGAAAAGTATTCTCATTTTGCTGAGTTTCTTGGGATATATTCCTGGCTGGATATTCATTCATTTATTCTCTCTCTCTCTCTCTCTCTCTCTCTCTCTCTCTCTCTCTCTCTCTCTCTCTCTCTTCCCTCCTGCCCCCCACCAGGGTCCCACTATATAGCGTCTGCTGTCCTGGAACTCACTATGTAGACCAGGCTGGCCTCAAACTCTCATGGACTCACCTGCCTCTTGCACCCAATTGCTGTGATTAAAGGGCTGCATTGCCATGTCCCTTGGTCTGTCTTATGAAGCTGACTTTATGTGAATACCTACTTAAAAGCAAAGGAGAAATTAAAGGATGAAGTGAATTTAGTGCAGAGATTGAATTTCCTGAAATAGTAGTTTACTTCAAATTATTTTCTAATATTTTTATAACTCTTTTTTTCCAATCTAACAGCAAAGAGATCTTTTACATTCTTTACAAAATAAATCCAAAAAAAAAAAATGCTAGCCATTTTTGCACAACTAATATCCCCTACCTAATAGCACATTTTGACACAACTAATATCTCCTACCCAAGATTACTAAAGGAGGTTTGGTCCACCACACTCCACTTGCCTTTAGTATTTTGCTATAAATCATGTACTGCATTGTGACATTTCTTTTTGTTGTTCTTTTTGTTTTTAGTTTTGTTTTTTCAAGGCAGGGTTTCTTTACACAGCCCTGGTTGTCCTGGAATTTACCCTGTAGATGAGGCTGCCCTTGAACTCAGAGATCTACCTTCCTCTGCTTCCTAAGTGTTGGGTTGAAGGTGCGTGCGCCATGCCTGGCTTTTGTTTGGTTGGTTGTGTGTGTTCTTTGTGACATTTCTTATATTGAACCATGATGTGTATATGTATGTTCCCCTCCTGAAGTGCTGCTCAGTGTCATCGAGTCTTTCTCGGTACTCAGCAACCGGCCTTTTTGGTCCTTACACCATGGCTTGCATCATACTTGTTCTCTCTGCTGGTAGAATCCCGCTTCTAGAAGCCCCTCCTTTCTCTTCCGGTTTTTACAAGTTGAGGGCTTCCTTCATCAGCCAGCTTGACTAAAGCGAATGAGACTTAGAGTGATTTACCAATCCAAGATCATACTGGCCACTTAACAGGAAAGAAAAGAAAGTCAGTTGTTTTTATTTTACTCAAAATGGGAAGAAATGACAATCCTTTGTTGTCTGATATGTCTAAAATAGGAAAGAAGTTTAAAAAAATCAGACATAGGTGAAATTTGCTACCAGTGTGGAGAATCATGTGTTTTTTACTTTATCTTTTGATTGTGTGCATATGTATGTGCACTCAAGTGCAAAGGCATGGAGGTCTGAGGACAACTGTAGGAGTCAGTGCTTTCCTTCTGCCAGGTTGGATCCAGGGATCAAATCCAGGTCATGAGGCTTGGGGCCTCACCTGCTGAGCTGTCCTGCTGCACCCCATTTAATTTTTTCATTAAAAACTTAGAGTGGTACTTTATTAAAGATTTTTACATGATTTGAAATTCATGTCATAATCATGTTGCTGATTTTGAAATATTCTTCAAATGTGTTTTTTTTTTTTTTAACAAACTATGCATTAAGTTATAGAGCTTGGATGTACCATAACTACTTTGCCACTACTCTATGGCTGAAGTTTTTTTACTGTTTCTGACTGTTGTAATGCTGTGCTAAATGTCCTCATTTATAAGTTTTTGCTAGTATCTCTCTTTGCTAGGTTGAGCATTTCAGAGTACAGGGGTAGAGATATATTCTAAGGCTCTTGAGCACTTGCTGAGCATGTTTTCTGGAAAGGTTTGAAAAAGACGGCAGTGAGAGCAGCCATTTGAGCACCCAGATCTGATCTGTCATCTCCAGAGCCAGTCCGTTAGTATTCCGCCCACCATTAGTACATCTCCCCCTTGAATGCCCCCCTCTCCTGCTGAGTCATCGCCTTTCTTCTGTTGAAAGATTTCCTGATGAACTCCAGTGCTTGTCCAAGTATCCATGGTCCCCCTCCAGGCCTCTTCTTTATCATCAAGCTTTCTGCTGGAGTGATGCAAAAGGCTTTCTCACCAAACTCGGAGCCCCTGGAGGGCACTGATGGAGCTCTATGACATCCCTAACTCCTACCTATGCTCCCAGCTAAGTGCTCAGAAAATCCTGGAGAGGAATGAGTTTGCATTCTTACTTTGAAACATTCTTTCAGGGCAGGCCTTTCTCATCTTTAATAATAGTGATGAGATCTTATAAAAGGAGCCCAGTAAATATTTGTGAATAGAATGCCCCATAAAAACTAAGGCTGTGGAGCAGAAAGCTTGGGTCCAAGTCTATCCTTATTTGGATTGAACATGATTATTGCTCGGGGCTACTTTTACAGAACTAATGCTCTTGACACAAATTAGGTAAGTAGGCAGTGCTGAGGGAAATGTTTTATATTCAGCTCTCTTGAAAGGAAGAACCCAGACTCTCATTCATTGACCTGTTAGCCCCTATATGATTGCTAAGTAAGGATTCAGTGGTGAAAATCAACTACTAAAGACATCATTAAAATTCTGTTCCTGATTTATGATTTCCTCCTCACCCCCCCCCCCCCCCCACACGCATTCAAGGCATTTGGTCTGCAAAGAAAGCCTGCAGAATTTACGTATTTTCAAATTCTGTGATTTGTCTCTTGCAGAGAAAGCTGCCCTTCACACTGTAAGTTGATTGCTCCCTTAGAGCTGTTAGATTCCTGTTATGTTTTCTTCCTGCGGCCCAAGAGCAATACAACTGCAAGGAGGTGAAATAAAATCACTACAGAAAGGCCGGGGCTTAGTCCCATTCTATCCCCTCAGTCATCCACCAACACGACTATTGTTACGAATATCTGCTATATCTGCTAAGGTTTGGGTCCTACTAGCCTTCTCCTAACTGCCAAACTTGCTTTTCTACTCCACACCCCATTGTAAGGCTGATTACGAGTGAAAACCCCACAAATATGGTGTTAGTTTGTTTCACTGCCCAATGCCGTTTTATTCCATGCTTTTTAAAAGTGAATTTAGTTTTAAACATCTGTTATTCAGGAAATTCATGTACCAAAAAATATCACGTTTTTGAAACTTTGTGAGATCTGGTCATGCTGGGCTCCCTTCCTTACATGCTAACTTTCTGTTGAGTTCAGTGGCAGCTGCTGGGCTGCATGCACTATCTGATGCAATCTCTGCCATGCATTATTGATTACATGTTTTGCTGTTTTATTTGTATTATTTTCCCAGCCTTTGTAGGTTTAAAATATGCCACCTATATAAATTTTTGCCAGCATCTAAATTTCTCATCTGTTTATTTTTACACTTAACTTTATTATGGAGTGTGAATTAAAATTAAATGATATGTTCCAACTCCAGCAAAAGCTGAGAAAAGGGGTCAAATGTATGACAATGTGACATACCCTGAAGAGTGTATGTAGATATTTTGATGAGTATATATGTATGTGGGGGGGGGGTCTGCCCATCTGTCTGTGTCCCCTCCCCATGCTGGGAAGGATAACTATGTAACAACAGCTACTATTCTTTATGCCTTCAATCCCACTCCTTACCCTAATTCTTCTTCCACCCCCTTTTTAATTGTTACTTTAGAATAAAGAGAGCACAGAAGATGGACACGGCAGTAGTGACAGGGCAAAAAAACCACAGAAGGAGGAACAGGTACATTGAAAGTTTTCTTTGATGTGCCCAAATCACTGGGTACCAATGAGTTCAGTTTGACGGTTAGCTTTGTCCCTTCCTAGATACATGGCATCGGGCCAGACACCAAATCTCTTTATTCATCAGTTTCTTCAATTGTAAGAGGGGATAATAGTGCTACCTGTCCTCTGGCTTTAGACATGGGGTGAGCTGATGCCTGTGCTACTCACAGGGTGAGCAGAGCAGTATGGCAGCAGTAGCCGCTGAAGCGATATGAAGGTATAATGCTTTCCATAGACTGTGACCATGGTCTAGTTCTATGTAAGCGCTTTAAAATTATCACTAGCTTATAGGAAATACTGTAATATAAAAGTTGCCTCTTTCATTGAGGTCTTTGTTTTCTGACATTTGGTCTTTAAGATAATATGAGGGCAGTGGAGATAGCACTGTACAGAAAATGAGGAAATGGGACTTAATATAGTACCATCGAGAACTACATGATATGAGGCCTCAGCTTTCCAACCTCACAAGGGTGAGTGGTGATTAAGTTGAACAAAGACCAGATTCCAGCTTCGTAAGGACTCGAGGCATGTACTATAAGAGACTGTCATTAAGAAAACAATGCTACAAATACAAAGTTAATAATAATGAATCATTGTGTACATTACCACTATATACAGAAATGACTAGGATCTCCATGAAGATTGTCCATGTTGTCCAGACTAGAGAGCTATTCTCACCTCAACCTTCTTAGCAAGCCAAAGATACTCCGCTATCCACTGCCTCCAGCACACAGGAAAGTGGGAAGGAGTCAACTGGAACAAAGAAAGACTGCAGTCTTTGCCAATAGTGGGTAAAATACTGATTTTTGAAATTTAATTAAAATAGAACTATGTTAATACATGGCTTGAAGCTCCCCTGGGGCCATAGAGGGGACAGTCTTGGCGATAAATCCTAAAGTTTGAATTTTTATTAGCCTCTCAAGCATACTTTGAGATTGTGTTCATTTTTCTTTGTGTCCTGGGGACATTTACTGTCATCTGCTCGTCTCCCTGAGACTCCAGATTCACTGCCCCAAAGTCTTTTGGGGAGCAAATGTAATATAGAGGACAAATTATATCCATAATGCCCATCTACAGCAAAAATATTTAATTTTTTTTGTAAAGATAACCATGAAGTACATTGGCTGTCTAAGTGTTACACAAGGAGGATGGGTGGATAATTGGGACATCCATGTGAGAATAAGGCAGTTTATAAATCGGGACTGGCTAATATGAACACAGAAGAGCTACTATCTAAGACCTAGAGATCATAGAAGAGTGTTGAATTTTAAAGGATTTTCAGGAATTGGCACATCCAAGTAAGATCAGAGGGGCCTCAGAAGGACATAATGATCTACACTGCAGTTTTCAAAGCTTCTGAACGTAGCTATGATCTGCTTAGACTCTAGAATCCATCTCCCAGGAAAGCCTTACTCTGCTAGGTATTTATAGCACTTGAAAATCTAAGAGGTATTCAAAAGCTCTTCAAATGGAAACAATGAAATGCACCAGAGTTTGCTAACTGAAATCAAGTGGACATATGATTTTACCAATCAAAGTTCCCAAATAGTCTGGAAGTTGTAAGCATCTTTGCGTACAAGCATAAAGTCCACCCATTGGCCTTGTTAGTAACTTCAGTAAATGATACAACCATGCAGCACTTCAGAGATGTAATGCTCATTTAAGGTCATGCATGCAAACATGAATTGCAAGCTTGAAACCACAACAACAGTTTATGAGATGCTAGAAAACTTCAGGTTTGGAAGCATGTGCTGTGAAGTATACGTGCTCTAAATATCCCTCCATTCACAATTTGTTTTTTCAACCCTTACCACATGGTAAGTCCTGGTGATAAAACTGACAGAGGACAGTTTTATAATCTAATGCATTGCTAGAGAAGAGAAATGGAAAATGGAGGCTTGAGAGGAAAAGATTAGTAGCAAAGCACTCAGAGAGACCTCTTAGACATTTATGCCTCTAACTAGATTCCCTTCAGTAGTAGTGTTGGGACATTTGAGGAAGAATTCCCATGTATTCATGCAATTACAACATCAACCAGAAACTGGGGTTGATTTCTTACAAGGAACAGAGAATGATGCGGAGCAGTATCACAATGGTCTTGCACCCTGGTTTCATGTTCATTACTTAATGCTTCCTTGCATTATGCACAGTGCCTCCCATGTGCAGGCACTTGCTTCATCATAGAGCTGACATGAAGAACACAAGAGTCACAATTTAAAACAAAGCCAAGAAAAATGAACCTTTAGCAAGTAACGCCAGTGGCTGCTGTACTAGAAAGGACACAGGCAGGAAATAAACGGCAGGGTTGCTCACCTGGTTTAACACTCTTAGTTAAAGTGAAATGTAAATCTAAGTAGTGGCTGCCTTTTCATATCCAAGAGGGATGCTCTGGTACCCCATGTGGGAAGCCCCTTCCTTATGTAGTTCTCATCTTAATGCTTCAGTTTCCCTTTCCATAGAGTTCAAGCTTCATTTACAGAACTCCCAGGAACCTGGTTTTGCAGCCACCAACACCCACATAGTGTGAAATCCCTAGTTATTTCCAAAGAGCACTACCCCTTAAACATTAAACAGTCTTTCCTCCTTTCCTGATGAAAGACTCTTTGGTTAACTCGATTATCTCACAATTGTGCCATTATACTGCCAAGTACCATCCACATGTGTGCAAGTTATGTGTATGCACCGCCCCTGTATGTCTGCATGCATTAAGAATATAATGCCGGGCGGTGGTGGCGCACGCCTTTAATCCCAGCACT